TAAAATGGCAAAGATAAAATGGCTTGTTCCGTGACGACCCATCGGGCTAACGGTACACGCCACAAAGGCAATACACGCCGATGAAATAGGAGAACACTCTCGCTATCTTGTGTCACGCTGCCTGCTTATTTTGTTACAGCTGAGGATTCATGAACTTTTCCTTTCTAGAATGTTCCTTGGTACTACACGTCACGACTAGTTGAAGATTAATAACGTTCCTTGTTGTAGGGGACATTTTTTAAACTTTGAAAGGGAGATTAGATGAGGAGCGCGAAAAGTCAGAATGTTGTATTTTCCTGCAAGGAAAGATCATTAACGAGTAGAGTGTGGTAGAGGACAGGGGGGTTGGGGGGGGGATGCTGAGCTGCTTATTTATTTTGTATACAGCTGTGTTGGTCGGTTGGTTGGATGGTTAGTTAGTTGGTTGGTTGGTTGGTTAGGTTGGTTGGTTGGTTAGTTAGTTTTTTGATTGGTTAGTTGGTTGGCTGATTGGTTGTTTGGTTGGTTCGTTGGTTGGTTGGTTTGTTGGTTCGTGTTCATTAACAAGTAGAGTGTGGTATGAGGTGCTACGACTTGTTCAGAATTAATAATATACTTTCCATTTCGAAATGATGTCGCTTATTAAAAATTAATCGAAAGTGGTTTTGGTGTTCAGAAAAGACACCAAGACTGAAATTCAAATCCCTCTTATCTGTTTAGCCTGCAGCAATTTGAACAGCAACAACAACATTAACAACAGCAGCAACACAACAACAACAACAACAACAACAGCAACAGCAACAGCAACAGCAACAACATCATCAACAGCAGCAGCAACAGCAGCAGCAGCAATAACATTAAGAACAACAACAAAAACACCATCAAAACAACAAATTAGATAAAGGATAGTACCGGCACTTATATGACCGTATTGCAAGTGCTTTAAAACTCTTACTAAAACTTTAAAAAGATAGTACTCACCACTTTCGTATCCGACAATCAAATGTGTCTACGTCATCGGCGTCTCGGGGCCACTGCATGCCTGAAACATACCAGAAACAATGTGAAGGGTTTTTAATTTTTTTGTTAGTAAGTGTTTTACGGCGCTCGCAACTGCATAAGGTCATGTGAGCGCGCAGTACACATTAAACTTTTTTCAGTTGGTAGGACATTTTGAATTTTGCCCCTGTGGCGGCCGAAGCCTACTCTTATTGATTTTAGACCACAAAGGGATCTTTAATGTGAGCAACTTGCACACGGGCCCCCCAAGATTTTTTGGCCTTTGTCCGAGAAGGTTAGGTGCAGATCTTTACTACCAGAAGTGTGGCTGAAAGACAGCAGTAAGGAGGAGCCAAGAAGTAGCAGTACAAAGGCTGCAGAAAGAGTCAGGAGGCCAGAGTTGGGAGCAAAGGAGGTGAGGAGGTGGGGGCAGAAAGAGGAGACGAAAGCACACGACAGAACATTGCTAGAGAGCAGGAAAGGATTTGAAAGGAGACAATTTTAGAGAAGAAAATGTTTCGGTCGCTACCCAGATTCGACCCCGGGACCTTTGAAAGAGAGGCCGATACCTTAACGTTTAGGCCGTGGGAGCGAAGGGATAGCTGACTGAGTAGTGCAATGTGATTTGAAGCATAGAATGAAATTTATTATGTTTAACAAGGATTGAGGTGAAGGGACAAATAAACAATTGAACGAATGAATAGGGATTATTTCTTCCTCAGGTTTCAACACTGAATGTGAAAAAAACATTGTACAAACTGCATGTATATGATTTTACTGCCCCAACGTGATGTAGAACTAATAGCCAGAAAAGAAGAAGCACAAATAAAGGTCACCAGATAAGCTGCGAAGAAAGAACCTGGATATATCCAGAAGAATGAGAAATAAAATCAGTGCTGTACCTGGAAACCACCCCCCTCTCCCCCAACCAAGGGTAGTGTTACTGACTAAAGTGTCTTCAGACGATTCCCAAAGAAGGGATATTAACATGTTCTTAATGCACAGTAAAATTGTAAATGGGCTGATTTATCAACGAAATACTCATACTGTGCCGGAACAACATAAGGGGAACTGCTGCGTTTTCTTTCCTCATCCTTGCCATTGTCATTTAACCTCTACTTTTTTGTATGTTTGTCACTCTCTTATGAACTGCTATTTCCGGGGTGCCTTGATAGTCGAAGCAGACTATGTGCTGTTGAGTCTAGAGAGGTGAGAAGAGTAAGCCCGATTCCCCGTTTGGACTTCTCTTTTGACATTCATCCCTTGGTGCTCTTATGACCTTATGCAGTTATGAGCGCCGTAATACCTTACTAAAACCAAAAAAAGAATATATCCTGAAGAATGCGAGACAAAACGAATGCTGTACCTGGATATCATCACCATTCAGTGCCAGATCTGCGACAGACATCGGTGATCATGGTTTTCCATTCATTCCATTGCTCGGATGCTCTCAAAAAAGCTATGTTTCCCTGATCTTTCCCTGTTACCCATTTGTTCGAGTTCCCAAAGTATGTTGTTCTGG